TGATGGTAGTGGTGATCATGGTGGTGGAGATGATTGGTGGTGGTGGTGGTCATGGTGGTGATGGTAGCAATAGTTATAGACAAGGTTATACTGAAACAAAGAATTTATTGGAATGATATTAATTTTAGGCCCTATGGTAGGAAAAATAAGAAGGTAAACTCCTTTTTGAAAAGCATCATCTTCCAATTCTTTTGCATTTCTCACTGGTATACATGTAGAAAAGGCACATAGTAGGTATTCAATAAATGTAACTTAACGTGAGATTTTCATCTCTTAAAAGAAATAGCTCATCCAGAAAATTCTGTGTGGCTATCCCTAAACCCAAAAAGACACATATTAAGAGAAAGGAATAATCTTTATGAAAAAAAATGGATAAAGTATTTCAATATGAAGGAAAGCAGAGGAGTAGGGTATAAAGAAATCCCTTAAACTTAGATACCAGCTCTATCCTGGAAGAAAAAGGAAATAGGAAAGCCATTGTGTGTTGAGCCTTCACCAACTCGTAGCAACCTTGCAAGGTGTGACTGGCATCTGTGCAAAGAACCGAGGCCCTCACACCAAAGTTCTGCAGCTGGTGACACCGCAACCCATGGGCCTGAGGCAGACTCCAGCCAGTCTGGCTCACTCCATGATGCAGTTCTGAATGAAGGTTGGAAATTAGCCAGAGGAATCAAAGAATTCCATTTTATGGTCCTTTCTCAGCCATGTTACGCACAGAGGCTGGTCTCAGGTGTGGTCCCGTTGCCGCCATGCATGAATATACCTGACAAGGGTGGTTTTTCCTCAGTGTTTAGAGACTTCATAGCCCAGCTTGATTTCTGCCTTATATCTCCACTCTGGATGGATGGTGGCTCAGAGGCCCAGCCTATGGTTAGTTATGTTGCACTGAGAACCTGGTACCGCACAATAAAGAACCAAACCTGCAGGAATCGTGTGTGCAGAGCACATGACCGGGCCATGCGGCGGGAAGTCACCTGGGCCTATTTTCGATGCTGCCAAAATCCGAATAAATATCTTGATTCTTCCCCTACGTCACCTCCAACCACCAGGTCTTGTATGTGCACATTCTGGGCCAGGTACTCCCGACCCGTGAGGGTCCAGCTCTTCTCCACTATTTATTTGATTTTTGTGACTCTCTATTTTATACAGAAAAGAAAATGTCCAGTATTTGATTTTCTGTTTAAGTTGATTTATCATGTGATAAGGGCAATACATACATACTGATGGTATTTTGGAAAATACTAAAAATTATTTTAAAAAATGTTTAAATTATGCCTAGACTTACTGACCATCAGTAGACAAGCACAGTGAACATTTTGGTGTTCCAGCTACTGCAGGGATGTGTGTGCAAACATGGGGGAGGGCAATTTTGGGTTTTTAACAGAATCAATTTTCTATCTTTTGTTTAATTTTATTTTTTTTAAGATTTCATTTATTCATTGGAGAGAGAGAACACAAGCAGAGGGGAGCAGCAGCGGGAGGGGGAGAAGAAGACTCCTTACTAAGCAAGGAGCCCAGCACAGGGCCTAATCCCATGGAGATCATGACCTGAGCCAAAGGCAGGTGCTCAACCATCTGAGCTACCCAGGCGCCCCTCTTGTGTTTAATTTAAAATGAAGCCACAAGCATTTTCTCAAACCATCAAATATAAAACAGCATTCCTTCATGTATTCTTTTCACAACCTTTACTGGGCACCTACCAGGTGTCAGGTGCAAGCTAGGGTCACAGGGACGAATAGGCAGAAAGTCCTAACCTTACACATCTATGGGTAAAAGTGGATGCACTCTCACAACAGTGGGGAGGGTTAAGTTGAGACCCTGAGAACACAGAGACTTGAACACTAAGGGCTTTCATACACACAGGCAGAGGTCTCACCCACGCAGCTGCCGACTCACAGCCCGACAAGCCCAGCCAGCAAGACTGTCCTTTCCCACTGTACTGTGTGTCCCAGGCTGAGATGACTTTGGGATGTTCCTCTTTAGGAACAACATTTCCTAAAATACCATTAATTATTGATGATATTTAACAGCAACATAGATTTAGACATTAAATGACTATCAGGTACCATACAAGAGTGGCCGATCCCAGGGTACACAGGCTGGGCATCAGCCCGGCCAGCCACAGCCTCTAACGGGAGGTCCCCCTGGGTGCTCAGCCATCCTCACACCCGCCCCATGGTTCCTGCAGTAGGGCAATCATAGCACCTGCCGGGCGATCCAGTTCATTCCCATCAAGCACTCAGATCAGGGCTTGCCTCACGGAGACCCCAACTGTTATTATGGGTGTGTCCTCCCAGGTCCTTGTCCGTCCCTCCCCTCCATCCTTGGAGCTGCCCTGAATGTCTTTTTTAACAAGGTCTGCCTTCCCTGGGAATCTGGGGTAGGTTCCACATAGCCGTAGCTTAAAGCTCACCTCTGCAGGAAAGGCCCCAGTGTCACACGAGAACATCAACAGCAAGTACATCCTAAGAGAGATGACAAATGCACTCAGAAGACTTCCAAGGCAGAAAAAGGTGGAGAATTTTTACTCTAAAGAGATGGGAGGGGGGACCTGAGTGGCTCAGTCAGCTCAGGTCATGGTCCCAGGGTCCTGGGATTGAGCCCCGCATCGGGCTCCCTGCTCCGCGGGAAGCCTGCTTCTCCCTCTCCCTCTGCTACTCCCCCCTGCTTGTGTTCCCTCTCTCGCTGTGTCTCTCTCTGTCAAATAAATAAAATAAAATCTTTAAAAAAGAGAGATAGAGGGTAAGATGAAGTGGCTTAAGAAAGCCCCGAATAAAACTGGTAAGAATGCAAATCCTGGGTAAGATTATATGAGATATTTTACCTTTTTCTTGATGCTTCGCTGATTTTCATAGTTTGAAAAGTGGGTATATATTGCTTGTGTCATCAGAACATGTAAACCTAAAAAAATAATAATAAATACCTATCAATTCAAAGTGAGTAAAGTAATTCTTGCGGGAGCAAGCTTTCACCTATTTTTCGTTCCTGACAATTTGATATAAAATAGGAACTGGAACCCCAGTTACCTATATAGAACCAGGTGCTTGCAAAATTGCATTGGTGCAGCAAATTAAGCAAGCCAGTTCAAGTTCACAAAAACGCTTTCCACCTACTAGGGGAGCCGAGCGATGGAGCCCCAGCCATACAGGGGGGAAAAATGGTTTTGGCTGTGTAATCACAGCTAGAACAACCACATTCTGTTTTTTTCCTTTTTAAATATATACATCTTTTTCAATTCTAAATCAGCAAATGCAAATGTGAGAACGCCAGGCTGTCTGAATGTCAGCCCTTTTAAGAGTGAGGACGGGCCTCAGGAAAATTCACGGCGGGAGTTTTGCTCTGAAATGGAGACAAACAGAAACCAGGCCTTGGGCCTTAGTGGGTGGTTTACCTGCTGCTCCCGCACTGTCCCTTTCACCCCAAAACCTAGTCCTTCGCCTCCCTTCTCCTAAGCAGTCAGGGCTCAGTGGACAATGCCCCGAAGTGTGTGTTTTCCCTTTACCTGATGATGCTGAGTCCGGGAGTGGACAGGGGAGGACCCGAAGCAGCAGCCTCGGGGTGGAGGGACCAGGACACTGTTGCCTTGGAAATGGAGGCATCTCGTTTAAGTATCTGATAAGCCAAACACAGTGTGATGAATCTGCACTAACATGAGCTGATTTGTGAAATGCAAAGGGCTCATGTGTTATTCATTCAAATAAGTAATTCACTGACCAGTCTCACTGGTGAGGCACCTGGCGTGTGCAGACAGGCAGGCAGCCACCCCGTGGCACCCACGGAAGACCCAGGAGCAGAGGGACAATTCTGGGCCCCGTCTGCCGGGCTCTAAAGCCGTCACCTTCTCACGGTGTCAAATGCAGCTGCAGAATGCAAACATGAAGGCAAGAAGAAATGCTGTAAACGTAATGACAACTCAATTACAAAGTGGGGGGAGGAGAAAACCACCTTTGGGGTGTCTGTTTTATTTTCTGCTAGATCCCCAGGCCCCTCACTGTTCCTGGTACAAGGTATCTGCTCAGTAAATACTTGGTGAGTAAATGAATCAGTGAATAAAATTGCCTGCAGAAATAATTGATGCCTTATAAAATATATTAAAGCACCATTCAGTTAAAAGGCCAAGTGGCCACAGTTAGGAGGACATCAAGCTAAATGGACATGAGGATCAAAAACCAGAGGCTCGCATCCTCATTTTAAAAATCACAGCGATGTGTTGAAATGAACCACCTCCCGCCCCCACCCCGGTGTTCAGTAGTGATGCTGGATGCAGAAAAGAGGCTTCTTGGTGACAGCGCCCCCTGGGACGTGTCCTGTAATCCAGGTGAGATGGGGTGGAAAGCCTTGCTCACACACCATAGTCTTGCACCTGGGACTGAATTTTTCAGGTAAGCAGGTGAAGAACATGAAGTATTCCCTTTTTAAAAACGAGAGAGACAGGGATACCTGGGTGGCTCAGTCGGTTAAGTGTCTGCCTTCGGCTCAGGTCGTGATCCCAGGGTCCTGGGATGGAGCCCCGCATCGGGCTCCCTGCTCGGCAGGGAGCCGGCTTCTCCCTCTGCCGCTCCCCCTGCTTGTGCTCTCTCTCTCTCTCTCTCTGACAAATAAATAAAATCTTTAAAAGAAATAAATAAAAATTTAAATTAATTTTTTAAAAATTAGCACATGCTCTGTCAGAGAATGGAACTCGTCACATCAGGGGTAAAGGTGATGCTGGCATCTTTGAAGTGACAGGATGGGACACTGGAAGCTTCAGAGGAGGGCAGGACTGGGTAATGCAGGGCCTCCCTCCGGCCCTCGAGGCAGCAGGATTGTCCCCCTCCCACTCCACCCCTGGGCATCCTGAAGCATCATATCTACCTCAGTTTACCTTTCTCCAGAAGAGTTCTGAGTTGTCCGAATCCCTGCCACCCTCTAAGAAGAGGCCGGCTCCCCGGGCACCCTTCTGAGCACCAGAGCAGGGCCGGGCCTGGGTGGGTGGTTTACCACGCTAGCGGGTTTACCGAATCCGGGGCATGCGGTCTTGGCTCACGCACTGGGGGCGGCATGAGAGAGGAACAGCCGTCCTGTAAGTGGCCAGGAAGCCCCCCAGGAAGCCTCCCAGCTCGGAGGCTTCTCACCGGAGACTGCGCGTGCTCACAGGCTGTTCAACGGAAGGGTTCAGCAGGCCCCCTTGCACGCGGCAGGTCAGGGCTCCGGGATCCTTCTGCCCGCACACAGCCACTTGGGTCAAGAGAGAACACGTACCTCATCCACTCCCATCTCACTGGTGCAAACTGGTCAAGGGGCCCTATCTAGAGGCAAGGGGGACCGGGCACATGGCCGCTGGCTGGGCCACTGCTTACCACCACGACTCTACTCAGTGGAAGAGGAACGAGACGCTCCTCAGCGAGGGAAGGAAGTCTTGGAGGATGGAGCAGCCATGAGGCCAGGCTGGGCTGGGCTGGGCTGGGGTCAGAAACAGAACCAGGCTGCAGGGACCAGCATGGGCGGGCCAGCAGGGGGCTGCAGATCATATCTTCCCCAGAAAACTTTCAGTGGAATTTTGTGGTTGCATAATGTTTTTGTACAACTGGCTCCTCTGGGGGGACCTGAAAAGGCACTGAGTTCTGTGTCTGGTCTTAGGTGGAGAACAAGTACCAGGGCCAACCTACATTCCTCTGATACCACATATCCTGACTTCAGGATAGCCTGGTGCCATGCATGCACATTTTAATACTATCGTGCAGTTTTGCAATAGTGGTCCCCAAATTAGTATCCATCCACGTTTTGCTCATTTGGAGTTTGAAACATAAGCTGTAAGGAAGGTATACTAGGTTGAATAGTGTCCCCCAATGAATTCATGTCCACATGAAGCCTCAGAATGTATCCTTTTGGAAAGAGGGCCCCTGCAGGCGTAATAGTTCAGATGGGGTCATGCTGGGTGAGGGTGAGCCTAAAACCCAATAGGCCCAGTGTCCTTATAAGAAGACACAGAGGGAACACCATGTGAAGAGGGAGGCGGAGATCGGAGTGGTGCGTCTAGGAGCCAAGGAACAGGGAGGACTGTTGGCAACCACCAGCAGCTGGAGGAGGCAAGGAAGGATCCTTCCCTAGAGCCTTCAGAGAGAGGATGGCCCTGTGGCCTCCCCAACTGGAAGAGAATCAACTCCTGGGATGAGAAGCCACCCAGTTTGTGGTGACTGGTTACAGCCACCACAGGGAACGGATACAGGAGGGGATGGTCAGAGGGGAAGGTTAATCAAATGAGTGTTAGAAAGTAGAGTCATCCGTAGCTCTCCATCGCCCATCCCCACCTCTCTCCTCAGCTCCACGCATTTTTTGCAGCAGATGCTCTCTCCAGCTGGTCGTCCCTGGCGCATCAAACACAGCAGGTCTGGAGCCGAAGGGATGCCTCTCGTCCAGCCACGCCGCTCTGCTGTGCTTTCCTTACCCTCTCCCTTGTCCGCAGTCCCTGGCTGCAAGCCCTGCCCTCAGGCTCGCCTCCTCTGTCCTCTGTACCCGGCATCCAATCCCCCTCCCAGTCCCTCACTCCTGCCTCCCAGGCCCCCTTCTCTGAAATGGGGCCCGTGCTCTCCTTTCTCTCAGCAATGCTTCTGCGCCTCACTGCAGATGGAACTTGGTATATCTCAGATCGGGTCCCATCGCTCCCAGCTGAGGCGGGCATACCTGCTCACCCCTTCCCCAACTTTCCCCCCACCTTCTGCCAAAAAGACGAGTCTAGATAGATCCCTCGCATGACATACAATCAAGCACTCGACATGGATGACTGAAATTGCCCCTTACAATCACCCTAAATTTAGGCCCGGTCGTTAACCTCCTCTGATAGGCAAAAGAACCAGGATTGAGGGAAGATGAACTTGCAGGTGGCAAAGAGGGGGCTGAAGGATTCCCCCAAAGTGAGCCAGTTCTTCAACTTGGAATTAAAGACGAAACATGGACTCTCCCAAAAATCCGCCATCTGGCCCCCCATTAAAACACCATAAATCATCGCGGTAATTGTGCAGGAGTAATAATAAAAAATGATATTGGACTATTTGGAAACTGGGTTAAGCCTGCAGGTTTAGAAGATCATCCGTGCAAATCCCATCACTGAGACATCTTCGGAGTCTTGAAAGTCTGCTATGAAGCAGGTCCGAGCTCCCTGCTGACTCCCGTGGGGAGCACGGGGGAATGGGATGTCCCTCTGAGGGGCCTTTCTTGAGAACCCTTGTGCAAAATGCTCCCCTCAACATGTCTGGGCAACAACACTACTGTACCCTCTTATCTAAGCGACTGTCTATAGACAGAATGTTTGTGTTCTCTCAAAATTCATATATTGGAGCCCCCAACTCCCAGAGTGGTGGTATTTGGAGGTGGGGTCTTTGGGAGGTAAACAAATTTGTGTGAGGTTATGAGAGTGGTGCCCTCATGATGTGGATAGAGCCGTTCTAAAAAGAGAAAGAGCAAATTTTACATACAAACTTAGCTTTAAGGTAGAAAAATGATGCCTTTCAGATTTCAAGCACCTTGTGTGACCATTCTGACCCATAAAGTTAGTGTAAAGAAGTGAACACTGCTAGCCCGTGTGCTTGAGGTCCTAAACATCTCCTCTGGTGGTTGTATTAGTTTTCTAGTTCAGTATATCAAATTATCCCAAACTTAAGACTTGAAGCAACACTGATTTGTCAGCTTACAGTTTAGTAAGTGAGAAGTCCGTGGCTTTCGTGGCTCAATCCTCTGCTCGGAGTGTGTGTTACCAGACTGAAATCAAAGTATCCGATGGCAGCATCTCTCTCCAGAGGCTCTAGGGAAGATTCTGTTGGCAAGCTCATTTGGGTTGTTAGGTAAATGAGTTACAGGACTGATGTCCATGTTTCTTTGCAGGCTGTCAGCCAGGGTTGCTTCCAGCTCCTACATGCCACCTGCACTCCCTGCCACACAGCCCCCTCCACCTTCAAAACCAGCCAAGGAGAATCTCCCTCCCACCGAGTCCCTCCTGCACTTCAAATCTCTCCCTGATTAGTCCAGGCTCACCCACAATAATCTCTTCTCCTTGAAGTCAGCTGACGGGGGACCTTAATTACATCTGCAAAATCTTTTCACAGCAGCGTCTAGGTTAGTGTGGGATTGAATAAGTGGGACAGAGTGTGTGCATGGGGGCAGGCATCTCGGGAGCCATCTTGGAATTCCACTTACCACAATGGCTTGACCTTGGCTCATCGGCCTCATGCTCGTCTTTATTCAAAAAGAGCAGGAAAAGGTCCTTTATTTCTAATTATTTCAATATGCCAGAAAATGAAACTTGTTTTGGAGCTGACAATCTATTCTGTGGCCAAACTGGCAAAATTTCAGAGACCTAAATAAAAACCAGCCTATTCTGAAGCCCGTTTGTGCAGGGCCCAGCATTAAAGCCTCTTACCAGCTATTAGTATCACCGGAACAAGGGACAGACAGCTCAGGCACTGCAAGCCACCATGTGACACCCCAGGGGCAAGCAGGAGCCTGCACCAGAGGGCCTGGCTGTCCACTCACCAGCACTCACTGCTCTTAGAAGGAGCTCTGGTTACCTAAACTTCACCCCTCAAAGTGTGACCCTGACCAGCAGCATCGGCACCACCACCTAAGAGCTTGGAGGAAATGCAGAGTCTCAGGCCCCACCCCAGGCTTCTGAACCAGACTCTGCCTTTCAGCAAGATTCTAGGTAATTCATGTGCACATCAGAGCTGAGGAGCATGGTGGAAGCCACTCGCCTCAGCTACTCATTCTGCTCCGCCGAATGCACCAAACATGCCACCCCTGCCCCACACAACCCCACCTGCTCCCTGCCCAGGCTGAGCCCTGATAATGGATTAGATCCATGTCACAGCTAGCCATGGGAGAGGAGTCTCTTAACTCGGGCAATGATTGCCTGAAGTAGCTCCCATTTCCTGGGGTGCAGGGCTGAAGCTGGTGAGTGACAGGAGGGGATGCGGCCTGGCCCAGTCTGAGCTGCTCTCAGACCTGCAGGCCTTCTCTGGGACACAGGGTAGCCAGGGCTGCCTGCATGGTCAAGGTAAAGTGTGGAATCGGTGCCCGAT